GTCCTGTTGAAGCCAAGTAGTCCGAGAAAGAGAAGCCGACGCAGACTCCACGACAGCAACTTCCAATGACGACATCGGAACAGTGTACTCCAGGCAGGGAAACGTACCATCTACAAACCCTAGAAGGCCCTGACCACACAAGAAAGGAATCATTTGAGTCCGCCAAAAAAGGTAATCAATAACCAACATGTTACCAACAAAATTACGATGGCATAGCTCACGGACCTATTGATCGTCGTCAACTGTCGCTGACCGCTTTCTTTAATCGACGAAGGGGACCATGGCCTTCTTCATATCTAAAGATGGTCATCACCTTCTTCGACTGAGGAAGGTGGTGGTAGACACGAACAGTGAAGTCATGACGGATTAGGAAATTATGATTTTTAAAATGATTTAATTCGTAGGATATCGACAAATGACCTCTATGTATCCAAATGACTATTTATGGTACTTAATTAAAAAAAAATTAAATTCAGAAGTCTATTTTTTTTTTTTTTTTGGATCAATAGGGAAGGAGGACACCTAAATACATACAGACTAGTTAAACATTTGACACCAAGATGGAACACCCTCAAAGTCTTCCTCTAGAGCACGGACAAGGCGGTTCGGAGGATCATCAATTCAAAAGTCTAATTTTTTGCCATAGACTATTGTGGTACTTAACTGTGTGACCTTTTTTTAATATTATTTTTAAATAATTTAATCTTTGTTAGTTAGAAATTAGAAATAATTATTTGTTATATAGAAGTTTTTTGGTACAACGGAAAGAAAAATAACTAAGACAAATTAACAAAACAAGCTAGTAGAGCAATTATCAATTAATTAAATAGGACTACTCTTGCGGCATCTAAACCCAACAATTTAGACAAATCATCCAATCGAGTGTCCTAAAATCGGCAAATTATATTATGCACCGCGGTGCATAATCGATTATGCACCGCGCGTCTTTTTTTTTTAAAATGAAAATTAACAGTGTTTGTTTCCGCCGTTTCGCACTCTTTTGCAAAAAGTAACTCTGTTATTCAGTGTCATTTTGTATACACTGCAGTTTCAGTTGAACACAACTACAGTTTCATTTCGATATAACTATAGTTTCATTCGATATTTATAGACACAAATATGTGAAAATGTTATTTAATTTTATTTTATATACACTATAGTTTCATTAAAACACAACTACATGATCATTTTGATATAATTACAGCTTCATTGTACAATATACACTCAAATATGTGAAATGTTATTCAGTTTCAGTTTATATACACTGCAGTTTCATTTCACTATAACTACAGTATCATTTTGATATAACTGTAGTGTCGGTTTGGATATACTGTAGTATTAGTTGGTGTTTAATACACCAAATAAGCGGACTCCGTTAACTCTAACGGCGGGCCGTTTCTTTACTTAAAGAAACGGTGTCGTTTTGACCGCGGTCCACATGCACCGCTGTCTATAATATAATGACTGCCTAAAATCGTGATATCGCAACTTCACTTCTGTGCTAGTTGGTTAGAAGTGTAAAAGCGGGTCAAACTATTTGTAAGTTACTTGAATTTGATTTGTCAAATCTTCGAATTCTATTTAGAGTTCGAATACTTCGAGTAATTAATGAGTGGAGTCAAATTTAAACTTTTCAAAATTCAACTCGAGTAGCTTGAACTTGAACCGAGTTGAGCTCAAACTCAAAAGGTAAGAGTTTAATTAATCGAGCTTGAGTTTTAATTTTGATTAAAAAATTGGCTTCAAGATTTTACTACTCATATTAAGTTCAGTTAAATTACAGTGAGATGATCAATAATTCATCATTTCGTACGTATAGTGTATGAAAGACCCTCCCCTTATTCAATCCTGTTTAAGAGACTCCCTAAAATACATATTGATATATAATTAATTATTATAATATCGTATTGAAGAAAAAAAACACTTCAAAAAAAAAAAAAACAACACAAAACAAAAATTCTAGAAATTGAAGACGAATATTAATTTCAGCCACAAGGGTGTTGTCATTTGTTTCTTTTCAGGTATACGATAATGACATAATGTCAGTGAGAAGACATTTTCTAAAACAAAAATGTTACATGTACTCTCATTTTATACTTTTAACTTGTACTTTTAAACACAAAAACTTGATATAGACATTTATTTTTGAACTTATATGAAAAAAATAACTTATTAGAATCTGTCACATTATGAAGTAAAATTTATGAATAAGATTAAAGAGTACATATAATAGAACACTTCATAAAAACACGAATTCATCTCCATCATATATCCTTTCATTTGGCCTTCGCATTTTTCTTTTTATAACTAATATTAAATAATGATAATTAAAAAAAATGATAGTCTAACCACTAATAATGAATGAAGCACTTGACTAAAACCTCAATAATTCATTCTCACCCTACACGCCCTAATTGTGGCTTAGATTATGATAGCTATATGCCTATATATTACTCCGTAATTTAGAATATATATATATATATATATATATATATAGATAGATAGAGGGGAGTTCACGTGCGGCAATGTTATTAGGTGTGGCGGTACGATCAATTGCAGGCCATTAGATCAGATTAGATAAATTCAATGAATCACATTCATCAAGGCTTCTCCAATATTTTTGCACACGTTCTCACACTACGCGTGCAAGGTTAAAGTCGTCATTGGGCACCAGAATAGGGCAAATCATAGTGTTGTGTGTTTTATGTTTGTTATTGGTGCATTATTAACCTTACTCTGGTGCATTTGTGGATTCGTGTTGGTGCCAAGTTCAGGTGCGGCCGCGCCTTCCCGTGCGGCCGCACTAATAATTATACAAATATACACCATCCATGTTAAAAAATGCACACCAAAAAAACATGTACAAATTAGGTACGCATCACCCGAACGCACCATTAGGTATGAATAAAAACACCACACAGTGTTCAGAAATACATCATTGGGGGTGGTGAGTTATATGATGTATTTTTTGGTTGTGTTGTGTGTATTTTTGGTGTATTTCAACAAGTAGACACGATTGGGATACTAAGCATCAATATAACTAGGTAGTTGTTTCATGTACACATTTTCAGACAAATTTCCATTTAGAAAGACATTATGAACATCAAGCTGTCTAATAGTCCAATCAAATGATAAAGCCAAGGAAAGAAGCAACCTAACAGTAGTTAGTTTAACTACTGGACTGAATGTATCAAAGAAATCTTGCACAGATACCTGATTGAACTCTTTTGCTACTAATCTTGCCTTGTGTCTCTCAATGGAGCCATATGCTTTCCTTTTAGTGCGAAAAATCCACTTACACCCAATAACATTCATACCTGCCTAAGAGGGTATGCGACACCATGTCTGATTTTGTAGAAGGGCATTAAATTCTTGATCCATCGCCTCACGCCATTCTGAATGTTTAATTGTCTGAGTGTAACAAGTGGGATTCGTAGGACAAACTTGAACAGTCAGAGCTGATGGAGGAGCTTGAGACCGACTACGAGTGCTCATCGTGTGAATCTGAGTTGTGGACTTCATGGACTTACCTCGTGGCCGGCCACGAGGCCATGTAGTAAGTTGTTCAGGTGGGGCGTCTAGTCCGGATGCAGACTGTCCTGGCGGAAGACCAGGGTGGCTGCCGAACTGCTCAGGCGCGACAAAATCGTCGCATGACAGTTCTGGTTCGTTATCGGACTGCGTAGGCTCTGCAGAGTTAGCGCCTGGCAGTTCTGGCTTGAGTTCCTGTGGCTGCCCAAGTGTGGTGGCTGCGGGAAAAATAGGATAAAGCACAAACCACATGACATGATCGGGGTTAGGGTGTCGCAAATTCATACTTACGAGCCTAGTGTAAAACATACATTTAAGGATAGAGATTAAGGCATAAGTGCTGGATTAAGATAGTCAAATTCATAATCTAAACATCAAGGGGAATGTTACTGCTGCAGCCACCCGCACTAGGATGACTACAAGTCTACAAGGCTAAACACACTAGAGTCACAACTCAATATTCAACAAAATAAGGGTTCACAGACCCGGGTGTCCAAGCACCAACAAAAAAGGTAGGTAGTCTACCACTACATCAAACTAATCAAAGTACTGGTCATGAACATAGGGTAACAAGGTCTACATACTAAGAACTAGAAATGAGATACACTATATATCTAGCTCCTCAAGGCGCGCTTTCAACAAAACAATACTTCATACCTAAAAGGGGTTATCAAGAAAAACAACGAAAACAACCCGTTAGCAAATAATGCTAAGTATAAACCACTCAACCCTGTAACATAAGTATAGATATATAGTTCTAGAAAATAGTTTGTTTGACATCAACATATAACACATGATCATAGAGGGGTAAATCAAATAGTCAATAGAATATAGGTATAGATAAGCCCACATATATACTTCTATAAATATATAACCTATATAGACACCACTCACACTCATACTTACATTTTTGTCTTCCATGCATATTGTTATGCCTCCAGAGCATATTGTTGTGTCATTCGGTGCACACTGTTGTTGATCATAAATGACAAATTTTTATAAAGATGAGTTGATCTATGACTGAGATTTCATTGCATTTTTCACCTGTGGCATTCATCTCACCATAACCTAAGCCAAGAAAACTCATTTAAAAAGTTTTTGTAAAATTAATATCTGAGACATGAGAAGTCAAGAAAACTCATTTAAAAGTTTTTTTTAGAAAAATGGTACCTAAAAACTTGGAGGTAAATTGAAAATTTTTGTGATGTACTTACTGACCGCGCCGTGTAATACTGTCTCATATGTGGTCCAACATATATGCAACCGCCAACCGGCAACCTCCTTCCCAGAAAATACAACTCCCATTAAAAATAAAACATAAATTAATGATAATAATACTTCGGAAATAATAATAATAATAATAATAACAATAATAATAATGATAATAAAGTAATGATTGACCCCCAGGCTACGCCCACACGCCCAACCCCACGCTTTATTCCCGGGGTGTGTGATGCTTATTAAAGGAGTGGACACACCTCTCCTAGCAGCAAAAGAAAAACAAGATATCACAAACATTTGTAGTTCATCCATCACATAAAACTTTCAACCAGATTTCCATATTTTCCTAATTTAGCTCTACTACAGTTCATGACAGACACCCAAAACCTCAAAACTTCTCTTCAGATCATTTCCTTGAGTCTTTCTTCTTCTTCTTTTGTTGTCTGTTAATAAACCTTAATTATTTGTTCTGAGGAAGCAAGGGGGTTCAGGTTTAATTTGTGTAAAAAAGTAAGAGATGAAACTCACCAAGGTGGATTCTATGTGTTCTCGTACTGGGAGGGACTTGCAGAGGTATAATGTTCAAGGTTGTCGCCAGGTTGTTGGGTATGTATACCATGTTCTTCACTTTAACTTTTGGGTTTTCTTGATTTTTTTTTTTTTTTTTTTTTTTTTTGAATTAGGAGAAATATCTTTCTGTGGGTAAGGGGGAAATCAAGGTTGAATTCTCGTCTGGGTTCTTAAAATTTAAGGAAAAGTTGAGATTTTTATTTTGTTTGAGTATGTTTATTAGTGATTAAATACAAGAAAAGGTGGGATAAAAGAACAGTAATTCAAATTCAAATTCAAACTAACATTAAAGCTAGGCCTAAAGTATATATGATCATCCCTTTTTGAGGTATTAATGATTATTATTGACTTTTCTTGCTGCAATGTTGTATGATGCAGCTGCATTCCGTACAGATACAGGGAAGGCAAGCAATCAGCAGGTTCCATTATTCATGGGGCCCCCCTAGTTGATGATCTGGAATTCCTTCTGGTCAGCTCTCAGAAAAGTCCAAGGATGATGTTTCCTAAGGTAGAACTACAGAGCCCCCAGTCCTATATATGTTGTTTTTTTAATAGGATTTAGGTAGTATTCAAAGTTATGGTTCTAGCTTGAATTTAGAATTGTCTGATTCCTTTCCCTCCATAATTGACATCTTCATAATGGAAATGGAATGAATAGGGTGGTTGGGAACAGGATGAATCTTTGGAAGAAGCGGCTCTTCGAGAAACCTTTGAGGAGGCTGGAGTATATGGAGAGGTTGGGGTAAGCAGCATGCACTAATTAAGCATCTTAATTAAGGTTTCATGTGCTTACTTTTGTTTCATTGTCTGATCTTATGTTAATTATTATATGCAGAGTTGTTTAGGCAAATGGTTTTTTAAGAGCAAGAGCCTAGGAGTATTACATGAGGGGTTCATGCTGCCTTTGATTGTTCTGGAGGAGCTTGACGATTGGCCTGAGAAAGATGTTCGCCAACGATCATGGGTATTTTACTTACTATGTTCTAATTTGATCCCGGGGATTATATTTTCCAGTAGTACGTTCAAGAACGAACAAGTCATGATGTTTTATGTATTTTTTTCAGGTGTCGTATAGGGAAGCCATGGAAGTATGCTTTCATCCATGGATGAAGGAAGCTTTGGATGTCTTGGTTTCTCAGCTTACCCTTCAACAAGAAGAAGATGAGAATGAGGCAAGAAATGGCATGATGAGGAATATTGAATTAGAGCCAAGCATTGAAATTTTGGCCCAGGGGAACAGAAAAGAAGAAACGAGAATGAGTAGTGGTGTTGGTGAGAGTGTGAAAAGAAAGGTGGAAGAGCGTCATCATCATCAGTTACTGATAGAGATCTTGGTGAGCGATGAACCCCTCAGCATTGTAGCTCAAAGTCTGCATCAGAGAAATGAAGATCCCCGAACAAGCTGCTGTTCCTTTGAATTCTTGAGGACGGAGGAACCAAGAATGGGCATCAGTCTGCATAGAAATGAAGAACCAAGAACAAGCTGTTCCATGGAGTTCTTGAGGAAGCTAAGCTAGCTCGATCGCCAGCAGAAGAAGATCAGAGGAACTTGGTTGATCGTTTCGTTTCTTAGCTTGCTAGCTTGCTAATTAAAGGACACACAAAACATGGAAACTTGGGTTCACATGAAAGTAGAGGTTAAAGAACCTTATTAATTCCTAACATGATCATTATATTCTTTCATTCTTTAGCAATGTAATGAGATCCATCCATTCTTTCATCTCAAGCTGGTTCAGATTCCCTGAACCATTAGGTTAGATATTGTACAACCATATGAGCTGTACAGCCATAGCCATGTAAGCAATAACAACACAAGTGTTTCTCAGTTCCCCTTCATTCAACTATCTGATTCAGAAACTGATGAAAAAGATGGATTATTCTTTCGTTTTACCAGTCATACCATTTGAAAATGTTTTTTCCTGCCTGCCTGCCTATATGTGAATTCAGAATTGTGAAGCTGAATGCAGTCATACTACGAACCTGCCATGAAGAAGAGATACACATCATGCATGTCTCCATATATATATATATACATACTTGAATAGCTGTCTCTATTGACTCACTGTTGGAAAACTTCATGGTTTCCTAAACTGATGCCCCAGACTGTGTCTTGCTATCAGATTTATGTGAATTGCAGAAGAACATCTTGGTTGAAGACAAATCACAGTTGCGGGTTCTGTGAAACATAACATATTATCGCACAACCCTCTTTTTTTTTTTTTTTTTTTTTTGACTAGGGAAATCTGCAGTCACTATTTAAAAGGTATTTACAAGGTAAACCCTGCAGTCACTAGATTGTTCATTGTTGACCAACTCGAACTAAGACGACTAATAGGCTGTTTCCACCACAAGTCGAACTTGGAATCTTGTTATTACAAAATTAACTTGTTTGGGTTTCCCCCACCTATCATATTTTTATAGGATAGGTCGGTGACTATTTTAATGGTTTGGTTGGTGCAGAACATAACATTAGAGAATGGCAACAATTTTTTTTTTTTTTTTTTTTGTTTGTTTAATGTTAATTGTTTTTGGAAATGTTTTTGTTTGATTTAAAAACTGTGGGTTTGTTAACTTATCTGATGACAAGTTGGGGCTTCTATTGGCAGTACTAATTTAAAAGGAAAAAAAAAACTCTCAACAACCAGACATGGTTCAAAGACAATGTTGTTTCTTATGGACAGTAGCATGTGGGTTGTAGCCCTATTTTGACTCATCTTTATTACTTCAATTTATTTTTATTTTTCAAAATTAAGAAATTTGTAATATATGTTTTTATAAAAAATATCATTTTTATATGTTGATGGGACTTCCTCACTCTATACATTGATTATTATAGTTTATTTACTACTTAAAACTCCTTACAGAATATTATTAAAATGAAACTAAGCATGTGAAAACTTTGCATTATTCTTTGTGTTGGCTAATTCTTAAGTCAGAGCATCACCGATTGGTGTTCTTTGAATCTTTGGTCAGATTTTTTTTCTAAATGGAGAAGAGATGAGAGAGATGGGGTGTTTACTGCTAAATAGGTATTTGGTATGAGTTTTCTAAAAAATTCAAAAAAAAAAAAAAAACGCTAGTGTGCATTGTGCATGCATTGTATGCACTTGCTGAGAGCATTGGGTGGTCCCCAATTTTTTTTTTTTTTTTTTAAGTTAAAGTGTCTTCCCGCACCATGAACCATTCCTGATTATTTATGCTGCACCATGATCTTTAATAAGAGATATTTAGAGTTATAAATCATAATTTTTTTCCTCTAGAACTTTTTACAGGTTTTCTGTTGGTTACGAGTAATAATATTGCTGACATTGAATTTTTTATTAGTTTTTTTTTTTTTTTTTTTTTTTTGTATTTTTCTTCTTTCGCCTTCATATTATTTTTTTTTTCGTATTTTTCTTTTTTCCTAAACTTATAGGCTTGCTCTGTGTTTTTTCGTTTCTCGTTTCTCCGATCAGGCCTGCTCTGCGGAGTTTGGTATCGGAGAAATGAGAAGCGAAAAACGCAGAGAAGGCCTAAACATTTAGGAAAAAAAAAAAAAAGAAAAATACGAAAAAAAATTATAATACGAAAACGAAAGAAGAAAAGTACCAAAAAAATTAATAAAAAATTTCATCTCAGTAATATTATTATCAGTAACCTGTAGGAAACCTATAAAAATTTCTAGACGAAAAAAAATTATGGTTTATGGGTCTAAGTATCACTTATTAAAGATTATGGTGCGACATGAATAATCAGGAATGGTTCATGGTGCAGGATGACAATTTATTTTTTGTTTTTTTTCCCCCTTTTTTCTCTCTTTAGTAATGGCTCAACAACAACCCCAAAAAGAAAAATCTTTAAAAGCATCCATAATAGTAGAGATATTTTATGCTTTTTGAAGAGTTTTTATGAGTGTGATTAAGAAAGAGAATATAGGAGGGGGGATAAAAATGAAAAAAAAAATAAAGTAAAACTATTTTTTTTAAAAAAATTAATATAAAATAACTGCGCGTGCAATGCACGCGCCCGTGTGGGCATCTACTGTGCGTGTTTGATGATTTTGATTTTCTTTGCATTATTCCAATATCCATTCATTGCAAGAGAACCAAAACTAATCTCTCTCCATCTTCTCTTCCCTCCACATCACCATTCACAATTCCAAAAATTCCAAAAAAAAAAAAAAACATTTGATATTGATGCTCTAAATAATAATCTTGCTTTTACAATTCTAATTTTTAGGGTGCGTTTTAAGATAATAGTGAGATCTGTATTAAGTTTGACAAAATTTATTTGACATCTTATAGTTTATTTTAACTATAAAGGATTAGGACATCAAAGAAATTAAAAAAAAAAAAAATCCCTTCCTCAATATCACAAGTAGGCAAAGTACCGACATAATTCTTAATATGTTCTCTTGGGAGCTTTGTGTTTGAGAGAAAAATATAAGAAGATTCTTATACCGTTCTAAGTTTACTTAGAAGTAGTATGAAAGGTATGTTACAATTGAAAGATGGGAAGATTGAGTCTATTGCGTAAAGTGTCTCCAACCTTTATCTACTATCTACTCCATCCGTCTCATTTTACCTGTTTTACTTTCCTTTTTGGTTTGTCCCAAAATAGTGTCATATTTCTAAAATTGAACATAACTATCACTCTACATTTCTCAATTTACCGTTTTGACTTTTCAAATTTCTGAGCTATCAGGCAAAAATGCAAGTCTTGGGGGTCAGGGATCCCGTCATGTGTCGCGCCTTCCTGCCGACACTAAAGGGGTTGGCACAGAGATGGCTCGTGGCCTTACCCACAGGCTCGATCCGCAGCTTCGAGGAGTTGGCCGACCGCTTCATGAGTCACTACACGGCCAACATCAAACCTCAAAGGGATCTAACGCATATTGGGGACATCCACCAGGAGGAGGGCGAATCTCTCAAAACATACCTAGCTCGGTGGCAAAAGGAAATCCAATCTATCGAGGAGGTGGAAGATCATACTGCACTTACCTTCTTTATCGAATCACTTCGGTCTGGCCAACTATATCGAGACCCACGGGACAACCGGCCCACTACCTATGCGGAGCCCATTCACATGGCCAACAAGCGAGCCAACACGGAGCAAGCCATGAAGTACAAATGACAACGTGAAGTTGGAGGAGCCTCCGGCGGAAAGCGAACTAGGGCAGAGGTAAAAGGAATACGCCCAGACCCGTCCAGGCGACAAGAGACTCGACGGGTGTACGACAGAGCTAGCGTTCAGCCTTATCGACCGACTCCTCAGCATCCGGTGCATGAAGTGCAAGCGGTTGCACCTCCTCCGCCCGAGGAACACGCGACAAATGTAGATCTGGGTAAGACATCCAAGTATTGTCGATATCATAAGTCATACACTCACAACACGGAAGAATGCTATTACTTGAAAAAGATCATAGAAGGGATCATTCAGCAAGGAACGCCACCTCCCAACCAGTGGCGAAGAAGATCTACGTCTCACACCAAGGAAGACGGCGACCCTTCAGAAACGATCGAGGTCAACCACAGCAAGCAACCGGTGTCCGAAGAGGGCGAGGCTCAATGGAGACAGAAGCCAGTTATCAATATGATAGTCGGTGGACCAGAAGGAGGCGACTCCGCTAATACTAGAAAAACCTGGGCTCGACAATTGTACGTAGGGACAGTATATGGGCGCGAGGGCGGTTCGAAGAAAGTGTGCCGAGAACCTATCATCTTCACGGATAAGGATCCGCCGACTGGTGAGATGCCACACCGAGACGCCTTAGTCATTGCGATGGATGTGAGCGGGGTGATCGTTCGTCGGATCCTGGTAGACACCGGGAGTAGTGTTAATGTCTTGTATCTCGAAACCTTCACTAAGATGGGTCTGGCACGAGAGCAGTTGGCCCCAGTAAAGACGCCACTGGCAGGCTTCACGGGGGACTCTATAGAGGCTGAAGGGTCCATCACTCTGCCAGTCGAGGTCGGCAGTTATCCTAGTGTACAGAAGTTGGATATGAAATTCATCGTCGTCGACTTGGCATGCTCTCACATTGCAATCCTCGGTCGACCCGGTCTAGAGGACTTAGGAGCGCTGATCTCCATTGAACAATTGTGTATGAAATTTCGCACACCAAATAGAGTGGGCACGGTACGTTGCAATCGAAGGGTCGCCAGCGACTGTTATCTACAAGCCTGCCGGGGCATGGGCAAGCGAGTAATGCGGGTTCACGAGATCACCGAACGACCCCAAAGAAGGCAATGCCGCCTCGCTCTGAGCTGGCCGTGGAACTGGAGGTGGTAGAGATCGATCCAGCCCGACCGGAGAGGCGGGTAAGAATTGGAGTCGGACTCAAAGAAGATGTGCGAGAAGAAGTTATACGAGTACTCCGAGAAAATCGCCCAGTTTTCGCTTGGGAACCCGAGGATACGCCAGGAGTGGACCGATCCATAATCTGCCATCGGTTCGCGGTTGATCCCGGCCACCGGCCCGTAATCCAGAAAAAGCGGTACTTAGCCAATGATCGAAGGGAGTTTGTTAAAAAGGAAGTGAACACGCTGCTGGCTGCCGGCCATATCCGAGAGGTCAAGTATCCGGAATGGTTGGCCAATGTGGTGCTCGTACCAAAACCACCGGCTTGGAGAATGTGCGTAGACTACACCGACCTTAATAAGGCCTGCCCAAAGGACCCTTTTCCTTTGCCTAGGATCGACCAATTAGTCGACGAGACTGCCTGGTCAACGTTGTTAAGCTTCATGGATGCCTTCCGAGGTTACCACCAGATTTACATGCACAAGGCTGATGAGGAGAAAACAACCTTCCTTACCCCGGATGGCGTATACTACTATCAAGTCATGCCGTTTGGACTCAAGAATGCAGGGGCCACCTACACCGGATGGTCGCTCGGCTGTTCCAGGATCTACTGGGAAA